GAAGGAAGGAAGGAAGGAAGGAAGGAAGGAAGGAAGGAAGGAAGGAAAGAAGAAGGAACACTTTCAAGTATTATGTGCTAAGCACTATGCAAAGTGCTGGAGGAGACAAATAGAAAAATCGAGATAGTTCCTGCCTTCAAGGACCTCACACTATATTTGGGGGAAACAACACCTAAAAGAAAGTTCAATTGTAGGGTAGATGAAAAAACCTGGAAGTCCTAATGGTGAAGCAGTGGGGAGGATGGCAAGAGCCAAAGGCATTTGGTCTCATAATTAAGCCAAATAACAGTGCCAGGAAGCTTCAGGGAGCAGAGCAGGGTGGATGGTAAGTACTGGAGAAGGCAGAACAAATGGCAAGAGCACCATAGACCTAAAGATGGACAAGAAGATGAGAAGGTATGGATAAATTGTAATCTGCACCTTGGAGACAGTATATGCATTGATGTCAGAAATCCGTTCAAGTATTGAAATTTAAATAACATTATTCATATTTTTATAAGAATGAAATTTTAGTATGTTAGAGAAGAATCTTTCCTAAGTCTAGGACAGATGCTACAGCTGCTTGGGACTGCACTCAATGCAACATCCCCAGCGTATATTATGAAGATCTGTGTTGTTTTATGCAGGTGTAATCAAATTAACTGTCTTCATGAAGAGAAACAAAGTGCTGATATTCTAGGTCAATAAATTCAAAGCAAACACAAAATGTGAGTTTGATGGTCAGTGATTTGATGTGAATACTTTCCCAAGCAAGAACTAGGCTCCCTCACAGTGATAGTTTAAAGCACAGTTCAGCCTTTCTTGAAACATTTTAAAATTACCTAGAGACACTCTGGATATTTACCATGGGAATTCTGTTCATTCTGTCATCATTTCCGCTCTCAGCAGCTCAGATTCATAGACTTCAGGTTGTCAAATTTGCCCTATGGTGTATTACTGAAAATGGGTTGGCGCAAAATTTGGCTGAGAGTGCCATTTTGCTGTTTTGATGTGAGGCTCTGATGTAAATTTCTAGCTCTTGGCCTACTTACAACCAATAATCAGATAAAAGTCACTGCTCAGAAGAGACCATATTTATTCTTGGTTTATCAGCAGATACTTAATGTTCATGGCTACTTGAAGCCGCTTGCAAAATTTCACGAGAGTTCTTTACTATCCTCAGAAGTCTGAAGTAAGAGCTTAAACATTGCCATCAATTCTACAGATTTGATCCTTCTGTAAATTTCAACCTGAACGTAGTCTGTAAAAAAGGAGTAAGGAAAAACAGAATCTTTTGGACAATGCCAATTGTAATTATCATTATTTTTGTTATCATTTCAGTCATATCTGACTCTTATGATCCCATTTGAGGTTTTCTTGGCAAAGATACTACAGTGGTTTGCCATTTCCTTTTCCAGCTCACTTTACAGATGAAGAAACTGAGTCAAACAGGGTTAAGTGACTTGCTCAGGGTCACACAGCCAGTAAGTATCTGACACTAGATTGGAATTCAGGAAGATGAGTCTTCCTGACTCCAGGACCAGCACTTAATCTACTACACCACATTTAAAATTTTAATACAAACTATGAAGTGATTACTGATAAGGTAAATTATCATGAATTTATGTAATCCAATAAAAATAATTACTGGTAGCATGTTGTGGTAGATAGAAGGTCACCCTTGGAATCAGAAATATCTGGATTCAAGTCTCTTCTCAGACACATATTGGCTATGTGACTTTAGGCAAATCGCTTAACTTTTCAGTACCCTCAGGCAACTCTCTAAGACTATGAAATGCAAGGCAGATGTCATCAACATTGACATGAAAAGTTTCCTCACCAGAAATTCCCTATATCAAGGAAATTAGATATCTGGGCAAAAACAACTCATTTTTCAAACTTATAGTCCAATGGAACACCAAATGTCATGACAAATCCAGACATTGAGAGGATACTCAAAGCATATAATGGAAAATGCATAGAACAATACCACATGTACATTGATCATAGATTTAGGACTATTAGGAAAGCTTAGAGGTTATCTAGTCCAACCCATTCATTTTATGGATTACAAAATGTAAGTCTGGATAATTATAGTGACTTAGGATCATAGACCTATGACTTCTGACCTCAGAAGCCATTGGGTCCAATCTCTTCACTTTACAAATCAATCAATAAACTCTAGTTAAGTCCTCTATATCTGTTGGGTCCAGCCATTTCCAGTTCCCATGACATGAACATTCAGGGTTTTTATTCCATTTGGGAAAAGGAATTAGTAATCTATTACATCCCTTCTTACTGAGTTTAAGGTACTCTGATGCCAGCCTAAGCCTGTGTTGAAAAAATCACTACATAGGGCAGGTTCTCTAGGCTAGTTCTAGTCAGTCATTTTGCTTGGCTCCCTAGGTGGGACACTGGGAGAGGGTGGGGGAATAATAAGGAAAGCCTAAGAACCAAGTATTCTCTAGTACACATCATAGTGGTATTTGCCAACAAAAAAGTTACTAGACAGGTCTTTTGTTAATTTCTTTGGGAATATGTCATTGTTTTGAGCACCATCATGACTAAGTAAGAATTAATAAGTAGGACCAAGAATAATGAACCACTAAACCACAAAGCCATGACTACTGAACCATAAAGTAAAGACAAAATTAGATGCATCACATAGGTCTTATGAGGTAGAGGTTTTTCTTTATCAGTGTTTCTCTGTATTAAAAGAGGCAATATGGTACAAGGGGGAAATGTACTAGATTTAGAATCAGAGGCCTGGAGTTTGAATGCTGGTTCTGTTAGTTACTACCTATGTAATTTTAGGTAAGTTAGCATGGTAGCATAGAAGGGGTAAGGTGGAACTAAGATGGTGAAGAAGCAAGAAAGAAATACAGAGAGCTCTTTCCCAAACTCCTACAAACAGATCTTGAAAATGCACCAGACCAAATCCTAATGGGGGAAAATCCAGAAAAAGTCAATGAATCATTTTCCCAGCCCAGTTCAGCATAGGTAGATAGAGAGGTCTATGGACACCGGAGAAAGAGTTTAGGCAGGAGCATGGGACCACGGGAAGCACTCCAACACAGGGCGAGATTATGCACCAGAAAAAAAGTAAGTCCCAGACCCATACCAGGGCACTGTAACAGGAACAGATGCCAACTTCCAACTTTACCAACCATCCTATACCCAGTTCCAAGTCACAGACCAGGGTAGGCTGAGGAAGGGAACTGCATTTCCCAGGGGTGGCCATACAAGGTGAGAAACAATGGTAAGCTTTAGCTTGTAAATTGAACAAGGGGCAATTTTGGAAGTTAAGTGGCAGAAGTGTGGCAGAGAAATAACCAGGGCAAGAATCCCAGACCAAAGGAGAGTCTGCAGTTCTGTCACTCTGAACTAGCTGCTCAGATCCAAACTCAGGTTGGGAACTTGCAGAGCTCAAACCAGGGAGGCAGCAATCCAACTTTGCCCTGGATCAGACCACTTTGGGGGCACCGAAAGCTTGCAGGTTCCCAGGTTAAACTGTCTTTGAGAGAACTCAATACCCCAAGAAAGAAGCTAATAGACCAACCCAGAACTTCCTTCAAAAAGGACGCAGGGTCTGACCTTACTACAAAGTCTGAATTTAGGGAGTAGGCTGGAAGAATGAGCAAACAAACAAAAGAAATGCACCATAAAAAGCTATTACGGTGATAGGGAAGCTCAAAACATAAACTCAGAAGAAGAGATTAACTCTGAAACATCTACAAGCAAAGCTTCAAAGAAAAATACGCTTGGGCACAAATTTAACTACAATTCCCGGAAGAGATGAAGCAAGTTTTTTTTTTTTGTTTGTTTTTGTTTTTTTTTATAAAGAGCTACAAATACTTTTATAAGTTAAATGAGAGCACTAGAAAAAATTCGGAAAAGACAAGAGAGCTATCAGAGAAAGAATTGGAAAGGGAAATAATATCTTACTTAGCACAAGAGTTGCAAAGCCTTGCCCAAGCAACAGACTCCCTAAAAATTAGAAAGGAAGAATTAGAATAGAATTATTATTAGAATAGAAGCCAATGATTCAATGAGACAACAAAAAATAAATTCGAAAGACTGTAAAAAAGAAAAGAAAGCATAAGATATTGTGATAGCAACTTGGAAATGTGTTTTGTTTGACTATCCACATGTCTGTTAACAGGGATTTTGTTTTTCTTTCATTCTTAATGAGGGTGAGAGGTAAGGTCAGAGTGTTAGGGAGAGAAGGTGAATTTTTTTGATTAAAAATATATATGTGTTTATGTGTATATATATACACACATATATACATATACATACATATATACATATATACATACATATATACATACATACATACATATATATATATATATATATATATATATATATATATATATATATATATACTGTATATATGGAAAGAGACACAGAGAGAGAGAGACAGAGAGAGAGAGAGTGTGTGTACTAGACCCTGGAGTCAGAGGACTTGGGTTCAGATTGCACCTCTGATTCTTCAGCAAGTGACTTCACCTCCCAAAGGAAGGCCTCCTTTAGTTGCCTCATCAGCATCCAGCATAGACAAATATTTGGAAAATTGCTACAGAATACACAAGTGTTGTAGGGGTTGAACTTTAGGAGAAAAGTAAAAGCCTAGAAGACGGAGGTAGAATTAAAAAGTTCTGAATTAGTTTTGGAATTAATCTAGTAATGTGCATGAGGGATGCCCCAAATTCCATCCACGTTCAGTTAGAAGATGCAGCTTAAAGACTATAAAAGTATCTTTATATAAGAATAAGCAAGAACTCAAAGGTGAGAAGGGGAGGGAGTTGAGTTTAGTCGGGGGAAAAATGTGAACAAAGTCAGCAAGGAAGGAGAGACTTGGGTGTGTTTGGGGTGTGACCTGTCTACCTGCATCTGGGGTACATGGCGGGCACTAAGATGTGTTAAGGCTAGAAAATCAGCTATGTCAGATTGTGGAGGGCATCATTTGTGAGACCACTAAAGATTTTTTTTTTAGACAATTGGGGTTAAGTGACTTGCCCAGGGTCACACAGCTAGTACATGTCACGTGTTTGGTCTGAAGTCAGATTTGAACTCAGGTCCTCCTGACTTCAGGGCTAGTGCTCTATCCACTGCACAACCTAGCTGCCCCATACCACTGCAGATTTTTGAGCAACATTTTTTTTTTATCCTAGCTACTCAGAGGTTGATCTTTTCAGCATCTTATTATTTATTACATAGGTCACCTCCTGTTATAATAAAGACCAATTCAAAAAAATCTCTGAGGAACTAAAAGATTTCCAGGTTCTAGACATTGTTTGAAAGAATATCTCAAACACTGGAATGGGGGAACAAAGCATATGGAATGACTCCTTAAATTTGTCGTGATGGGATGTGAACTGGGATCTTTTACACTTTCATCCAGAACTGACCTATAACACAATAGCAATTAAATATTTTTTTATTTTAAAATTAATGAATACCACAAAAGAACATTTCCATATGCAAAGCAGAATAGAAAATGAGGACTGTTCACACATGAAAATGCAAACAGCTTACTTTTAAAAAAAAAAGTAAATAAAATTCAACATTTTTTTGAAAGCTGCTCTGCTTGTCTATGTTTTGTGTGAATAATCACACTTTGCAGAAATAACTAAAGCAGGAGGATGGATGAAGATGATTTTTAAAAATGCTTCAATATAATTAAGTCAACAATCATTTAATAAGCATTTACTATACGTCAGACACTGTGCTAAGTGCTGGGGATAAAAACAAAGCAAACCCTGCCTTCTAGAAGTTCACAATCTAATGGTATAACTCTCCTTTCTTCTATTTTATTGGCCATTCAATGGTTAACTTCCTTCTCTTCCTCAAATGTCAACTCCTCTTTCCATTAAAAAACGAAATGAAAACAAAAAATGAAACAAAATCTGCTCAAAAATCATTAGTGGTCTCACAAATCATGCCCTCCACAATCTGACATAGTTGATTTTCCAGCCCTACCGCATCTTAGTGCCCACCATGTACCCCAGGTGCATACAGACAATTCTCTGCACCCCAAACACACCCAAGTCTCTCCTTCCTTGCTGCCTCATTTTCCCCTCTGCCTGAACTCTACCCCCTCCCCTTCTCACCTTTGAGTTCTTGCTTATTCTGAAAAGTCAACTCAAGTAAAGACTGCATCCTTCCTGAAGTTATCCTCAGTCCTACCTTTTGGGCAAGACCTCCCAGAGTATATTGCTTTGTAGCTCTCTAATGTACTTAGCATGAGTTATAGTTCCTTCTGTATGTGTCAACTTCTTACGAGACTAGCATAGTGCTTATCACTATCCTCTACGTTATTTTTTTTTACTGGATTTGTGATTTCATCAAGGCAGAGCATGAGGAACTCCCTTTATTAGTAAAGATTTTCACAGCCTTGCAATTTATAGATTTAGACAGTCACTTAGGGCACTGAGAGGTTAAATACAGCAAATATATGTCAGGGATGGGATATGAACCTAAATCTTCCTGACTCCAACTCCAGCTGTCTATTCATTATGGTGCACTGCCTCTCTGCCTGACTAGATTGCGGATAGTAGCCCTATAGATAGACATTTAATTAAATGTCTGTTGAAATGACTTAAAACTAAATGCATCTGCTTTGTTTTTTGTAAACGAGCACGTGCAAACTCACAGTCTGACCATATTCTGTATCATAACATTCTCTCAATAGTCCTGCATAAATATTTGGGGATTGTCCACTTCCCCTCTCTATACATGGGAGAAAGCAAAATCTCTACAAAGCTCAATATTGCTGATAAAATATCTTCCAAAGAAATTGTCAAAGCTGCATTTTGAGAAATGGTTTTGAGTTAAGAAAAATGTGATGAGGTTTTCTGGCTATTGAAAAGAGCTCACTGCTTACCGCTTCCATTAGTCCTTTTACGGTGGGTGATTTTAACATCAAAGCATCAAACACATCGTCAGTCTCTTTCCTCACGTACAAAAGCACTGCAAGAGAAGGGGGAGGAGAGGAGAAAGCGATTAGATTCAGAAAGCACCCAGATGCCACAGATGAATGCGTCCCATTAAACAGGCCTTCAGATGTGGACTGTGAAGGAATGATGCTACTTAAGTCCCTGATCCCTCCTCTGGCCATCATTTTACAAGAGCAACTGAGGCATTCATGTAAAATGTGTGCAGCAGGAGGCATGGAAGTGATGACTGAATGAATTAAGCATGCCTTGTAGCATGAGCTCCTGGAGGGCTGCCATATTGTTTTGAACGCTCTCAATACTTACTGAAGGGCAGGAACCTCCACCCCAGCTCAGCACAATGCCTTGCCTGCACTCTGGAGATGTACTGTATAGTGGTAAAAGTACTTTTTGTTGTTGTTGTTGTTGTTGTTGAATCATGTCCAACTTTTGGTGAACCCCATCTGGGGTTTTCGTGGCAAAGATACTAGAATGGTTTGCCATTTCTTCCTCTAGTTCATTTTACAGATGAGGAAACTGAAGCAAACAGTGGTAAGTGACTTGCCCAGGGTCACACAGCTAGTAAGTGTCTGAGGATGGATTTGAATTCAGGTCTTCCTGACTCCAGACCCAGCACTCTATCTACTGTGCAAACTAGCTGCCCAAAAGTACTACTCATCTATAAAGTGAAGGAGTTGGACTTAATGACATCTCACGTCCCTTTCAAGTCTAATATTGTATGGTTGCACATCAACAGAGATATATTTTAAAGACCAAGTGATGAGGAGGAGGAGGAGGAAGAAGAGGATGGTGGTGGTGATGATGTGAAGAAGCAAGGCAGCATGATAGAGCAGCGAGAACTGGCACTGGAGTGAGAAAGACCTGGGTTCAAATGCCCCTTCTGAAACATACAGGCTGTGTGACCTTGGGCAAGTCATTTAATTTATTTCTCAGTGTTCCAGATTGCTCTCTCTGTTATAGAGATGATGTCAACATACACTGATAGATGGAATTCCCTCATCCAGGAGACCCCTATGTCAATGAACTCACAGTTCCAGTCCCTATCTAATAATAACCATAACAAGTATTCATATTTCCATAGGACTTTAGTATTTACAAAGTGATTTCTTCCCAACGACCCTGTGAGGTCGAAATTGAAATGTATCATTACCTCTAATTTGCAGATGAGGAGATTAAGGGTCAGAGAAATAATAAATCTTGTCAATGTCATTTAGCCAATAAGTGACTGAGATGGGATTGATTCAAACCCAGGTCTATCTCCTAACCCCAGCTCTTTCCTCCAGATCATCCTGACTTTCCAAAGTTATGAGTCATGAAACGGCTTTGAAATCAGTAAAGTGCTATGCCATGTAAGCTAGTGTCATAGAACAACCTGGATAAATATTTGCTGACATATTCAGGGGCCACATACACTTTTCAGGATTGAGATTGAATCTGGTTAGTTTTCACCAAGGACTGTACAGTTTCATCTAGTACCTGACATTAACTATTGACCAAAACCATTTAAATCTCATGTTGTTCTTTGGCACAGAGACCATAGACTGGATCTGCATGAACTACATGAACTTGGGGCTCATTCCTAGGAAACTTCCATATGTTCATTATAATTTTCCTGTGTCCCAAATAAAGCTGGGATTAATATAGTTTTTGCTTCTTTCTGCATTAGTCAACTAGCATTATTCACATTTGTTCAGATATCACTGATTACTAGAGGAGAGAAGGAGACCTTCACAATCAGCTTCTAGTTCAAACCCCCATTTTATAGATGAGGAAACTAAGGTCTATAAGCTAAGTAATTTGGCCAAAATTAAACAGCTATTTAGTGGCAGAGCTGGATCTGGAACCCTGGTCTCCTCCCATAGTTCAGGGCTCTCTCCACAATGCCAAACATTTCAAACCCCTCCTTTCATGTTTCCAATTCACCAGTTACAGGATTTGAAATTCAGATAAAACTCACTGGTCCTAAGTTTACTGTCCTTCTTTTCTCCCTCAGTGACATGACTCATGCTTCCTATTTCAGAAGAAAGGAGAGTGAGATTTAAAAAGCACAGCAACAACAACAAAGAAAAAGAACAAAAACCATATACAGTATGCATGGTTAAAGAAAAACTCATTCACATCCTGGTACCAACGACAACTGGGGCATCAATCTGAAGGATATGAATGTCACTAGAAAGGGGTGAAGGAATGAAAAGACTCAGAGCTAATATATAAATCCCTAAGCCCTAACTCATAAAAGACTGACTTTGGGGAATGGAAAATCTACATAAAATACAGATGGACTCTGCTTGTGTTTTATTCTGTTGTGTACAGGATGCTGTATCAGAATATTTTTGAAGCATCATTACTAAAAAATTCTCTTCTTTTTCAATCAGTAAAATAAGACAAGATTCAATGGACAAATCACACTTTCCCTACCACCTCCATTCCCAAATACGCCCAGATAAGTCTCATCAATTAATGTTTTAGGACTAATATTTCATTTGCTCTGAAAAAGGATCTGAAGAAAATTAATTAATAATGAGTGAATTTTAATAAGGTAAGCCAAAGGGAACAGTTATTAAGCACCTACTGTGTGCCAGGTACTGTGTTAAGGGCTTATCAAACATCTCATTTGAACCTCACAACAACCCTGGAAAGTTAATGCTGTTCTTATCCCCATATCACAGATGAAGAAACTGAGACAATTAGAGATGAAGTGACTTGCCCAATATCACAGTGTGAGAGGCCAGATTTTAATTCAGGTCATCCCAACTCTAGGCCCAGCAATCTATCAACTGCACTGCTTAGCTGCCCATTTATATTGGGTCACAGTTCATAGACTGTCAGAGGTGGAAGGGAACCTTCACCATCATCTTCTAGTCCAAATTTCTGTTTTATAGATGAGAAAACTAAAGCCCAGATAGGTTCAGTGACTTTATCAAAGGCTGCATTGTTATTGATACGGGAGGAAATAAGTACACATGTAAGTTATAGAAGGTATTTAATTAATCTCATGAGAAAATTACTTGAAAACTAGTTTTGATTAAATAGGAGGGAAAATCATTATATGCCCATTGAAGGGAAACATATTCCTGCAGATGTGTTCCTTGGGGTTTATATGATCTGAATTGTAGCAGGCCCACAATGAAGGCAGTGGGGAAAAGGAGAAAGGCAATATCTTTGGAATCCAAGGATACGAACTCAAATTCTGACTCCCCTTACTGCCTACGTGACATTGAATGAGCCTTTCTCAGTCTTATTTTCCTCACCTAAAAAATGAGGGGGTTGAACCAGATCACCACTAAGGTCCCTTCCTGATTTAAATCTCTTATCTTAAGAAGGAACACAAAAATGATGCCCCATGACACTGGACAAAGTTACTACTGATTTGACCAGTGGTCTTTTAAAGCCTCAGCTACTAAAATGTCACAGTGAATACTGTCTCTGGAGTCACTGTAAAGGGTTAAATGGAACATCTAAGTGATGTTTATTGGGTTGGCTCAGAACCAAGGGGCAAGGTTGTTCACATGTTCTCCTGCTGAGTGTGTCGACAGTTGAGCCTTAACATCCTGGGTCTATGGAGCCCTCCCTGCTGTTTCCTTGGGGAGCTGGGGCTTTATTAACTAGAGCTCTATGGCAGGATAATAGCAATAATGACAATCCTAACAACAACAACATCAGGAAGGATCCCTCCATCATGGACATTGGGCACCACAGGCAACCTCATTCTGCTCAGTGGGAAAGGTTCCCAATTGTCCTTGAAGGAACCATGCCTATAAGTCAGTACCAAGACAATGTTAACAATAGCCATAATGATGATAATAGTTCCCTGCAGAACTAATCTACACTCAGGAATTTCCATGGGATAAACAACAGATAACTTCATGGAGCTTGATTCGCCCATGTTTTGAAAGGGCAGCTCAGTATAACTGCGCATTTGCATGAGGCATGAGTGGCTAACCTGATCAAGAGTAAGAGGCAGGCAGAAGTAAACAGTGCTGCTGGCAACCAGCCACTGGAACGTGTTCCTGCCCACATTCCTCCCCTACCTCCAAAACTTTTCTTGCTGTGAAGATATTTTTCTCTTGCTTGTTGGTTATTGTACCCACATCTGTGGTGCTAAAGACCTAGGGTTTAGGTCTTTCTCTATCTCCATCCCTTTGACGAAACATTTAGTAACATCATCAATACATATCACAAAGATGCTTTTTTTTCCCCCTCATGCTTGCTTCGGGGTTTATACATAAAATCTCTGAAGGGCCAGACTACGGGAAAAACATTGTATGGGGATGAATGTCATGATTAAATCTCTGTGTGTGACCCTTAAAAATTATAATTTATTATTATAATATTAATTAGATTTTTATTAATAATTATTAAGTATTTGTTTTTTATTTTAGATATAATTATTAGTAGTACTAACTCAAATTTATTCAACCCTTTCTTTATGGCAATACTATAAGGAAGGTAGCGTATAATTATCCCCATTTTACAGATGGGGGAAATTAAGCTCAGAGACAATAAATGATTTGATTGTGATTGTACAGATAGTGTCAGAAACTAGATATCAACACAAGTCTTTTGACTCCAAGGCCATAGCTCTTTCCATTATTCGCTTCCCCATCTAGTCACATAACAAAGTATTATTATCTTCTTATTTATTTGATGGAATTTGAGTAGAAACAGTCCAGAGATGAGTTGCTGTCCTGCTATTATTCTTTTATGTTTAATGTTCTGTAGGTTTTTGTATAGGATGACAACATTTTTATAATTGAACAAAAGTTTTTTTTTAATAATTGAATAAAATTATTAGGATATAAGGTCATCTTCTCTAGCCTCAATGAAAGCACCTTTGGGATAACTCCAATGGTAGCAAGACTGTGGGGATGAATGGTTGTTGTTTTCATTATTATAACTAGACAGAGAAAAAAATAAAGAATGGATCCCCAGGTTTGGAAACTCCCTCCACCAAGGTAAGTGAACATATTCCCTGTAGTTCACAGTCTTAGACAGCTGCCTAGAGAATTGAGAAGTTAAGTGATTTGCCCGGGATCACATAATTAGTATGTATAAGAGGTAGGATGAGTCCAGATCTTTCTGGCTTCTAGGCAGATACTGACTCTCTGTCCTCATCATCATTGTCATCATCAACATGATCATTGTCATCATCATGGTGGTGGTTGTTATGCAACTCACTTGACATCTATGAAACTCAATTTCTTTTGTCTATAAAATGAAAGAGTTAGCCTAGAAGATCTCTAATATTTTATTATTCTTTTACTGACATAGAAATGGAAGGACTCTTCCACGGATCTTTTGAACTCTGTCCCAAAAGGAGAGGAATAGGCCTTCGTAATGGTGGCCCCTTAGGAAGACAGTGATTCATTCTAGGTCCTCTAATTACTCATCTGTCTGCTACCTACAAACCACAAGGGTTCATTAGCATTTGTGAGATATGCTCAGTAAACAGTAGCAAAACAACCTTAATATAGTAGTTCCTTTACTTGCTTAATCCTTCCACAATCTATGGATCCCAAACCTGACATAATGAAATACCACGTAGTAATAATCAACTCCTACATGCTCATGGACTGTGCCGGTGTTTGTATAAGCAAATAAAATTAAAATGTCCTCTAGGATCTAAAGCAGATTATGGGTATGTTGGCAAATATTTAAGGCGAGGAGGTATAAGGTTGGCAGGGGGCTGGCCAGAAGGGGGTGGAATGGCTGCATCCATAGAAACCAAGAATAGTGCATTAGTCAAGTGATAAAATCATAGGATCACACATTTAGAGCCAAAAGAAACCTCAGAGGCCATCTGATTCAAATCATACTTTTTACAGATAAGAATTCAAGTGAAGTGATTTGCCTAGGGTCACACAGATAGTATAATGCAGCCACACTGAGGACCTTGTGCTGGAACACGCTGGACACGTCACATTTTCAAGTCTTTGGGACTCACTATTTTCATCTGTAAAGCGTATGGGGTGGATCAGATGGCCTCTAAAAGGTCCGTTCCAATTCTAAATCTCAGGATCCCATGAGCACAGAAGGACAAAAGAAAAAGGAGGCCTGACTGAACTCAATTTTATAAGAAGTCTCTTCCAAGGTTGAAAATATAATTCAAACATTATTAGGTATTGGCTGATAAAGTTTGCAAAGTATTTTTGCTCTGGTACTGTGCCCCCTCTTTGGGCACTTATTTCCCTGGGGACTCCAGGACTATGAACTCAGAATTTGGCCTTCTAAAAGGTAGACATTTTCCACCTCTATTTCTCCTGCCCTCACTTATTAGAAGGAGGAAAACAACAATCTGAGTTGTTCATGTTGTTTGTGGGTCCACTGCAATGTTTATCTCATGGAAATTCCTGAGTGTAGATTAGTTCTGCAGGGAACTCTGAGATTTTAATCAATTATACATTTAAAATGTATTATTCTATGTGAGAAAACAAAGAAAGATCCTCTGACTGTGAAAGCTTAGGATCTGAAATGGTCGATTTTGCCTCTTAGGAATTGGAGCAAGCAGTAGGTCATGATAAGGCATCAGATTTTATGGATCATAAGCTTATAGACACTGAAAGGGACTTTGGAGATCATTTTGTACAACTCCATCAATATATAAATGGAGAAAATGAGTCCCAGAGAGTTTAAGTGACTTGTCCAAGGCTATAGATATAATTAGTCGAAGAGCCAGGATCAGGATCCACACATCTGCCCTCTGTCTAGTGCTGTTCTTCTTACGATACACCGATGGAAACGTTTTCGGGAGTCTCAGTAAACAGTGCTCAGCTTGCCAACCCAATTCAGGAAAATCTCAAGAAAAAGAGCTTGAGTTTGTGTGTCAGCAAATCCCCCCAAGTCCATCCAAACAGAAATGGGAAATTAGATAGGACAGCCTTGCATGGGGGAATTTCTGTGCTTTCATTGCTTAATCCCTTCATAGAACAGTGAAAAGGAGAAGTAAATGAAAACTAAAAATAGCACCAGGGTTTGGGTAGTTTCTTTTCAAATACCAAAAGGTGGTTCGAGTGGAACTAAGCTTGGCTCTTTACATTGAAAACAATGAATCACAAGGATGTAGCAGGTCACCTAGTCATGACTGCCTTAAAGATGATGTCTACACAAACTGGGCTTACCTTATTTTAAAAAAAATAAAAAACAACAAACCACCTTCTGTAACTTCTTTTGAAAACCAATTACAGAGTTGACCAACTTCCACTGTCAGGAATGCTTCATTATGGCTAATCTAAATCCCACCAACTGCAGTGGGTCCAGGAAACCTCTACAATACTTGTGACTCACAAATGAATACCCCGAAGTTAGAAGTTGAGAAGTCAATAGCCAAAGACCATTGGCAGAAGTCAAGAAGCAAAGACCAGAAGTCAAGAAGCAAAGATCATAGCCTCAGTGGCAGGCTAAAGATATTTTGGTGTGGTGGGCCAGGGTTGCCTCCATGCAATCAGGCATTTGCCTCAGGCCCATGTGGTGACCTATGCTTTGGATTATTAGTAGGAGTAATCAACAACATTGTCATGGGCATAGCTTGCAACTTTCCAATTGGCCTAAGCAACTTCATGGGTCAGCCATATCTATTTACAAATGGTATTCAGGTCCCCTGAGACTGAAGCTTTCACCATGTCTAATACAGATGGGTTACTTTAAGTGGGTTTTTTTGGGGGGGGTTGTTTTCATTTTTAAATAATTAGCATGTTTATAACCTTGTTGCTTGATATGGTTCCTTAGAATTTCCCTGAAAATTTTTTTTAAATAATTTTAAAAAATAATTAAAAGAAATAATTTCTCTGGTGTAGGTGTATATGTAAGTGACATAAGTTTTAGTATATTTATAATACATATTTATGTATGTTATATATGATAATATATTTATAAGTTTTATTATATCCTTGAGGCTATTTTCCTTCAGTCATCCTGTGTGGCCTAGTTAGTGTGATGCCAACAACCAGCCCCATAAATGCCTGGAGAGACTGAGCTGAGGTGAGTGTCGTCCTTGGCAAACTCAGATGGGTGAATGTGTATTGTATAACCATAATGATGACAGTGAAATGTGGTGCCTCTAGCTGTTAAGTACCTCTCTTCATTCCTTCTTCTTTCATCTGCTTAGAAGGTGGTGGACCAAACTCTTCCTCCATTGGCCTGAACATCCTTTTAACAAGGACACTGCTACTAGAAAAGAATACAAGCAATTTATTGATAAAACACATACAGAGTGACCGAACAAGGGGAGGTGAAACAATACCCTAAGTAGTAGGTGGGGGTTTTTGGTATCCCTCTCCATCCCCATCCAAGGATGAGCAGGAGGGCTTCCAAAGGGAGAATAAAGTGTCTCATTTCTTTGGGAAGTAGCTGGTATGGAGACAAAGAAAGAGACTGAACTCAACCCTCAAGCTTTCTGGGTATTCTTAGGATCGGGCATAACTAAGAAATAAGGTAGAATGTGCTGAAAGGAGTAGAAGAAGAGGGTAATAGGGAGAAAGAAGAACAGGGAGGTAGAAGGCATAAGCAAGTGGAGAGCTGCCATTTTGTGCATAGCAGGAACACACCTCTACTCTATCATCACAGCTAGCTCAGAAGCCAGTTTAAAAGATTGCTCCCAAGATGGGTTCTTTGTGAGCATTACTGTTACAAAGAAAGCAATTAAAAGCAACAATTCAACCATCCTAGTAGAAGTGGGGCACTAATCTAGATAATCCATACCTAAGTAGGATCTAGAAAGCACCCCATTAGCATTAGGACTAAACAATGGTACAGGGTAGGTCCTCAATAAATATGAAATGATGGTGAATGATAGTAATAGAAACAAGAAGAAAGTAGTCATTCTCTCATTTTTTAAGAACTGAAAATTAAAGTTCAGAAAAACATCAATGGCAGGTAATAGCTTTCATTTATACATAGCACATTAAAGTTCAGTAGGTACTTTGCTCTTAACTTGTGAGATTAGTAATAGTATGATTATTTTAATCTCCATTTTTAGCTAAGAACGAAGGCTCAAAAGTGAGCTGATAAGTGATAAGACTTGCCTAGGGTCCCAAAGATAGCAAGTACATAGACCCAAGATCTGAAGCCAGTTCTCCTGCCACACAGAACCAGCATTCAATCCATGGCGTCTGTCGCCAAAGTCAGAGAGCAGAAAAAATCCAGAAGTCCTGTTTAGATGAGGGGAGTTGGTTTGGGTTTTTTTTTCCTCTCCATTGTAAGTTCCTTTTATTAATTCCCTCCCCTCGCCATGCTAGCATGTCATAAATACAGATCATGGGGGCAGGTCTTATTCTATCTAGAAGTTTGAAGCCAGGCAGCAGAGGCCCAATGACTGACATAATTATCCTTTCAAGATGTAGGAAATTCAGTTGTTAATGGCCAACCAATTTCTTATTGGTAAATAGATGGAGGCTTATACGTTGATGCCTCCTTTTGCTGATCTTGGGTCTCTGACTAGAGCTCGTCTTTTTCTGACTAAATCTGCTTTATAGTTTCTTAGACCTGCTGACTTCTGATCATTTTTTTCCAGATAAGAAAATACAATTTTTTCTACCATCTGGATTTTTCAACTTGTTATTTAAAGAACATCTTAAATTATTATTATTAATAATAGCATTTATAAAGCATTTGAAGGTTTACAAAACACTCTACATGTGTTATCACATTTGATTTTCACAGCAACGTTGTGAGGTAAATGCTATTATTATCCCTATTTGCAGATGAGGAAACAGGCTGGAAAGTGATTTGCCCAAAGCTACACAGCTAATAAGTATCTGAGGCAAGATGTTAACTGAGGGCTTCCTAATTGCAAGTCCAGCACTCTCTACCTCTCACCTGGAGACCTCAAAGTGCTTTTAATCTTTCATATCCATAGCCCCTCCAGGATGCTTGATAGGCATTTAAAATCTACTCTTAAATCTAGCATCCTGAGGTATTGCTGCCTCCATTCTAAAGGTGTAGAAACTTAGGATCTAAGAGTTTTAGGGTCTTATCAATGAAGAACATAGTTAAGTCAGTAGATAATCCAGGATGCAGTTTGGGCTCAGTGTTGGTTGATTTCACAATTTCTGAGATTCCAGGAAGTATATTTGGTTTTATATCCTTATATTATTTTCCCACTGTGCTCATGAAAAAAAAGTTTAGGCTTAACAAAATTTTAATACTCTGCACTCAAGGCTGGCTGGCACCTAATGTTAACTTTTCAAAAGAAAATGTAATTCTGGGATTAAAGGGATATCATGGACGTATTACAACTGGATTTCAGCAAGGCATTTGACAAAGCCTCAGATGATGTCTTTACATATAAGGAAGAGTAGACAAATGTGGACTAGATGTCAGTGCACTTAGGTGGATTTGGAACCGGGTGAATGACTGAACCCAAAGAGTAGCCATTATAGATGAATGCAAATCTGGAAAAAAGTGTTCCATGGAGTGCCACAGAGATCTGACCCTGTTTTAATAAACATTTTTTTCAATGACTTTCAGGAAAGCAGAGATGGCATGCTTATTAAATTTGTGGATAACAGGAATCCAGGAGTGATGGTTTACCATATTGGATAACAAAATCAGGATCCCAAAAGATCTCAATAAAGAGTCAAATCTAATAAGATAAAATTTAATAGTAATGAATGTTAGGTCCTACAGTCCTACAGTCCCACAGTCCCTAAGTAGTAGGTGGGGGTTTTTGGTATCCCTCTCCATCCTCATCCAAGGATGAGGAGCAGGGCTTCCAAAGGAAGAATAAGGTCTCATTTCTTTGAGAAGTAGCTGGTATGGAGACAAAGAAAGAGACTGAACTCAACCCTCAGCTTTCTGGGGATTCTTAGGATCAGGTACAACTAAGAAATGAGGTAGAATGTGCTGAAAGGAGTAGAGGAGGAGGGTAATAGGGTTTTTAAGAAGCAACCAGACAAACAGAGGATGGAGGAATTGTGATTGGGTGAGAGTTAATGTGACAGAGAGCTGAGTTTTGGTTTTTGTTTTTCGGTTTTTTTTTTTTTTTTAGTTTTTGGTGAGTTATAAGCTCAACATGATTAGTAGCATGACCTGGAAGCCTAATATCACACTAGGCTACGTAGAAGGGTACTGTGTCTGTCCTGAACAACAGAAGGGATACAGTATTTCTGTAGTTGATTTTGGTCTGACCACATCTGGAGAACTGTGTTCAGTTTGGTGCACTGCAATTCAGGAGTCATACTGAGAACCTAGAGCATGTCCAAAAGCAGAAAACCCAGATGTGATGGGTATAGCACTGTGCTAAGGGCTGGGGATACAAAGAAGGGCAAAAACAGTGCCTGCCCTCAAGGAGCTCACTTTCTAATGGAGGAGACAGCATGAAAACAACGATGCACAAACAAGAGCTATACTAGGTAAATTGAAGGTAATTCAAGGTAAGAAACTACCAGTAGGGAGAACAAGCAATTTGACTAGTCTAGGCCTCATTTTCCTCCTTGATACAAAAAGACCCAGATTATACAGAAAGTCCTTTCTAGCTCTAAAATTTTATGACAAAGGCATAGGTTTTGTCTCCTTAAAAAGAGATTTTTCTCTCTTCAATTATTAGTTTTCCTTATTTCAAAACCCTGTTCTGACTAGGTCTCTTCTTTCCCATTTCCTCTGTACTCACATATTTTTTTTTCCTTTTCTGCCTTATTTTTATCTCTAGGCAGACTTCTGTTCCCTACACAGTCAGAATTTTTTCTTTTTCCACTCTTTCCCCTTTCCTTACTTTTTTTCCTACTCTCCCTTCTTTTCTCATTTGGCATTAGAGTGCTTTAATGGCTTTAAAGAGTTAATCGACCTTCTTCATGAGTAACTTAATCCCCAGGTGAAATTTCAGCATTTTGGAGAACCTAGATCATTAAGCTTAGTAGGGCAAAAAAGCTGAGGCTTGGAATCTGCTGGGGAAGTCAAAATGAGCACTTCCTCTATTATTTCAAAAAGCACCTAACCATCCTTAGTGATCTTATTAAGGTATGGGTGACTGGCTGCCAGTTGCTTTCTGCCTCCATGTCCCCTTGAATTTCCTTTTTTAATTGCGTTTATTATTACTTGAGCATCTGTCTGAATAGCATTTCCCAATGGTGACAGAGTCTCTGCCTTGTGACAGTGCCTCACTTGGAGGTCTCTGGGGGAAAGGCTTGGGTGTTCTGGGATGGGAATCTCATATCACCAGCTGGAAGCAAGGCTGGGTGTTTAATGCAAATCATAAAATGACATGCTGTAATTCATGCAGATTGGTGATGGTATAAAACATAGCATTTTGTTCTCATTTTAATGGTAATATTGTTATGTTTAATAAGGAAAGTGAAGTACAGAGAATTTGGTAGGAAAGCGGATTTCAGAACCTTTAAAATAAATACTATGCTCAAGGCAACAAGGGCCTGGGTTTTGAAAGACTAATTCCTCAGGTGGCCACCAGACTGATCTAATTGCAAATGCCCAAAAGGAACTCTCCACACTCTGGAAGATGAGCAAGAAGGGTCTCAAGTCTCTGGTGACTTGAGATTTGAGTAAGTTATTGAACCAAAGTAAAGTTTACCCCATGGCAAAGACATAACAGAGAACCATGTTTATCATCTTTGATGTCTTTTCCTTTTTTTTTTAGGCAATTGGGGTTAAGTGACTTGCCCAGGGTCACACAGCTAGTGACAAGTGTCTGGTCTGAGGTCACATTTGAACTCAGGTCCTCCTACTTCAAGGCCAGTGCTGTATCCACTGTGCCACCTAGCTGCCTTCGATGTCTACTTTTCTGATTTACTGATTTGAGATAGTTGGTTGGTCTCTGGACATTTATTATGAGTTAGATTGGTATAATAAAAAGAAGTGTGGGACTTGGAGGCAAGATGGACCTGTGTTCAAATGCAACCTCTTCCATTTATTAGCTGTGTAACCAATGAAAATCACTTCACTTTTCACAGCCTCTGTTTCCTCATCTGTAAAATGGGTATGATCATAATTTTTAGTGCTCACCTCCCAGGGTTGTTGTAAGGGTTAAATAAGAAAAGGTATATAAAATGTCAAATAGTTATTGACTATATTAGCACATGCAGAAGAATGTGGATGGAAACTCAATCTAAATTTGGAAAGAACCCTAGCATCTAGTAAAAACAGGGTGAGAGCAACCAGGGAAATCCAGGGTGATATAGAAACAGTGGTTGGCATGACTGAAAATGGTCTGGTGTTCTGACACACAGATTTCAGGGATAGGAACAGTAATGGAAAAGGGGACAGTCCAGACCTAGGATTTCATTGGATTACAATTTCTGGTAAGCAAATCTTACACGGATCTGCAACTTATAATCTTATAAAGTTGTTTGGGGAAGGAGATCACTGAGAGGTTAAATCATTTGTTCAGGGGCTCACAGCCAATACATAGTAGAGATAGGGCTTGAACCCAGATTTTGCTGATTTCTATTCTGGTTCCTGGCTCCTGCTCCCTGTTACTTCTTCATCGAGGGTGTTAACAATACTAATAACACCTTGGGTATCAAAGCTATTCATAATTAAGGGGTAAACAGATGAGTGGATAGAAAATATAGGTACCAAATAGATGAACTTGTATATAGATTAATGATGAAAGCATTGGAGGTAAGTAGCAAGAGACCTGGGTTCTATTCTTGACTTTGTTACTAACTATATGTGTGATTTTACTTAAGTCCAGTGAGCCTCAATTTCCTCATTTGAAAATAAGAATAATCATATTTGCCCCCAAACTCAAATTCAATTCCAAAATTATAAGGTGACTTGGAATAAAGTCATGTGGGGAAAGACAAGGAGAATGGGCATAGGTTTAGTAAAGCATATGACTAATATGGGCTGACAGTGTGATGGAGCTACCAAAAACATTAGACTGAGTTAAGAGACATTTCTTTTCTATATCACAGAAAGCAGAAGTACTGTGCCCAGTTCTGGGTACCACCTTTGAAGGAAGATCGTGACAATCAGGAGCCATCAAAGAAGGAAACCAAGGTGACCAGGAGCATGCAAATCCTCCTTTTAGAAGACTCAGCTGCAGATACTGGAAATGTTTGTCCCAAAGAGAGAAGCTTAGAAGACATATGATAGCTCTCTGCAAATATCTAAGAGGTGTCTGGTAGAAGAATGGTTAAGCTTACAGTTTGTAGATTAAAAGGGCAGAATTAGGACAGGAAGGGTGAAAAGTTATAAAAGAAGAGATTGCGGCTCAACATAAGAAAGAACTTTCTCACATCGACAAGTCATCAGTATTAGAATGTGCTGACTCATGAGGCAGTGAGCCCCCATCAGTGTAGGTCATCAAACAAGAGGCTAGATGACCACTGATCAAGGATGAAGAAAGGATTCCCCTAAGGTCCCTTCCAACTCAAGCACCTATGTTCTTGCAGGATTTAGCCAAAGTAGTCTTGGTCATATTACTTAGAACTCTAAAGCAAAGATTGTTTCTGGTCTAACTTCACTGAAATGAAATAATGAAGACTGTGGTGCTTTGGAAAATATAAAGTGCTATATAAATAGTAATAACAATAATAAAAATCTGGAAGCCCAATGTCTGCCTTTTTCTTCTCTTAAAAAAAAAGTGAAGCCCCACCCTACTGGCTTCTTGGGTTCACAGTAGTCAGTGAAAGTCTAGAGACTCCTAAAAGGTGAAAGAACTATACTCACTTGCCTAGTATCTTGACAGAAATAGAAGAGCTTCCATGTTTCTGTTCCCCTTGTAGACCAGAAGATGAAACTATGACATGGGTGAAATAGACGGGTGCCTAGTTTTTAGTGACTCAAATAAAAGTACCTAGGACCATTTCAATTCTTCCTTCTAACTTCACCTTACCCTCTTCTCCACTTCACACACAATTCACTAATATCCCTGGAATGCAGGATTTGTATGTGTATGATATGGAGGAGGCTGGTGTTAAAGAATATTTCCACTTTAAGAAGTACTACTCATAGAGTCCTTGTCATTCTAATTATACAGCAATGATAGATTATTATTCTATGCTCAAATAAAGTAGGGTGGGTAAACTTAGGTTACCAGGAAGGTCCAAGTGATCCTTCCTTTCCTGCCTTCCTTTTGTACTATGAAGAGCCAACAATAAGCTCCTTGAGGACAGGGATTGCATTGTTTTTTATCTTTATAGATTCAACACCTAGCACAGTGCATTGCACAAAGTTGATGCTTAATAAATGTTTATGGAATGATGAAATACACAATGCACTCTAAATATCATTCAGAACAATCACATTCCCTGCTACTTCTTCATTTCTCCTTACTTAAGATTCTATTTGAAGAGGAAAAGCTGAAAAATTAGATCACTCAGGATAAAACAAAGCAAAGCACAACACAAGTTAGTCCATAGAGAGGAAAAGAAGAAATGTGAGAGTCAAAACAGGAATGTAGTATTTCCTGGGCTTCCTTCCCAAATGGTCCTTAGTATCAACTCCATCATAATCAGAAATTAAAAGCCAGCATTGGAGAGGTTCCACCCCCTGTTTGGAATACACAGATGGAGCATTTCCACTGGTATGAAATGACTGTCCCTTATTTGCCTCCAAGCTTTGAAATGAAAGAACTAAATGTCTTACCCTTCTCGCTCGTCATCAGTGCTGTAATATGCCTGCAGAAAAAATAACAGGTTTACTTTACCCCGGCCCAATTATCCCAGCTGAAAGAACGTCATTCAGAGAAGAGAGATGAAAAAACATACTGTGTGAGCTACAATCTTCCCTAAAATTCTCTCTTCCCCTTTCTCAAAAAGGGCAAAACTGTTGAGTGCAGCATGTATGTATATGTTTTTTCTTTAAATGTAAATCTTAACAGAACAACAATAATTACCCTTCTGAAAGAAAGTTTTTATATCTTAATGAAACTACATTTAAAACCTAATTATTTTATACTGTCTAGAGTTATTTTAAATGGGGTATCTCTTACTATCTCTTCTTGCAGGGTTTAGCCAAAGTAATCCTGGTCATATTATCTAGAACTCTAAAGCAAAGATTGTTTTTGGTCTAGTCTAATCCAGATATTGGTTGTTTGTGTTAGGAGACTTTTAAACAAGGTCTATAAGCCACAAAAGGTGGCAAAACTGGAAAAGGCTTCTTTGGCTAGGTGTCTGAAAGTTCTGTGACTAATGTATTAAAGTCAATACATGAAGGAATTGACTCCTGGATCAGCTGTTATGTGGGGTAAAGATGAAAACATGGACAGGAGGGACATACAAAAGCACCCCCTGGTTCCATAGCATAAACTTCTGGCTTCTTAGCTTATTTTTCAAGGAGGACAGAGGGTCCTGACATCCCTCAACAACAGAAAAGTCCAAAGCCAGTTCCATCTGAATTGAGCAAGTTCACACTTGCAGATGGTCCTCCTAATCATCAAGGAGACCTCACATAGGTTGGGGGGCAAGAAGGGAATCGATCTTTTTCATGTGATCCATGGGAAAAAAAAACAAGCAGAAAGGAAATAAGTCAGCGAATCTTTAAAAAGTTAAGACAAATACTCAGATGATTTTGTTTGCTTTTGATGAAACTCTCCTTGTGAAGCCGATGTTATCCTATCTGCTACAGATAAACACTTGGGCTTTCAGGACCTACTAACTTGTGAGAACTATATGGCTGCTTTATACATTCACTCCCTAATGATCTGTGGCCCTTTTAACTTAGACATGGCAAAATATCTATACAGGTCATTCACTTCCCCTCATTTGATGTCTGACTGGGAGGCATGCCAGTCAAGTCTACTTGAGTTCCGAGATATTCAGATCACTGCTTCTTCATCAACATTCTAGAGGGGGAAAGTCAGTGGTAGTTTGGAAGTTTCTGGGAAACTCCTGGCAAATCTTAATAGTGCTTAGCAAGCCTAGGAGCTGTTCCATAGTAAAACCTCAGATATCTTGAAGCTTTAGAGAATAAATTATTCATGATGACGTTTTCCCCAGAAAGCTGAAGATTATCCCTGTAAGTGCTGGACTTTTCTTAATTTAACTTTTGGTTTTTTTAATTGTAATCTTTCATAAACATACAATATTCTTTCCTACCTTCTTAAACAGGGTACACAGAACGTAATTTAACCTTCTCTTGATGATTCAGGGTCCTTCTAACAAGCACTTGTCATTGTGATGAATTTCAGCTATAAATCAAGCAGGGCATAGAACATAATGTGTATTGACACCCATAATAGCCTTGGAAATGATTTTCCTAGAAAAGTTCCTGATGTCAGCTTGTCTTGTAGGGGATGATAGGGGATAATTTTCCTCTCTCATAAATGTGCAACCAAATAACTTCCTAGGCAAAAACAACAACAGCAGAGAAAAAACAAAAAACAAAAACAAAAAACAAAAAACAACCAACCTGTCTGCCTCTATGCAAAATAAATTTGTGAATAAAAGATAGAAGCATCCTTTTCCCAAGGGGTTTTCTCAACCTCCAAAAAAAAATCATCTCTTCATCCTAACTGTCCACGTCCGTGGGTTTGTCAGTTTTAAAACATTACCTGTGAATTCTGCAATAAAGAATCACAGGTACCTCCTAGCCAGCTTGTACTTGTCCTTTTAATTCACATACACTAACTTTGTTCATGGAGTGTGAAGGAGAAATATTTCTCACCACTTCAATAATGTATACTTGGGGGAAGGTTGATTCCAGAGACTGATCATTCTTCATCATTACCAGATAATACCTCTGCAAACATGACACCAACCCAAAACTTTCTCAACTTTTTTCTAATTTTATAGTTCTAATGAATTTCCCAGAACAAGGAATGCTCAGATTGTATCTTTATGATAAAACAGTGTTGAAAGTCCTACAGTTGATCAACTTTCTCCTGAAATCTTTGCTATAGCATTTCCTATTTTGAATAATATCTTGCTTAATAGGCTGAATCATTGAAATAGCAATAGGCAAGAAGATAGTAAATACTCCCAGACTTTATCTCTGGCTCCTAAGAAAAAAGCTCTGAGATTACCTAGCAAGAGGACAGTTGTCCTTTGACATATCAATGTCCAATGAAACCTATCTAAATGGCTCTTTGCTGCTTGCCTCCTGTCTTATGGTTGATGTTTCCTTAGTGTCTGAACAATACTATTCATAGGAGCTATAGATAGCTGTCTGTGCTGCCCACCCTTCCTTCCCCTCTTTCAGTTGTTCTATCACTGGCTCACTTTTCCTCTATCAGAATATCTGCTATTCAATACCCCCTTAGTCACTTCTACTTCCCACTGTTCTCTTTCCCCTCTTCTTTCCTCCTCTTTACTTCTTTCATATCTCTTGTCTTCTATCATTTTTCCTTTGGTTCTTAAATTTTGCATTAAAAGGTTGGTCTTCTATTGACATCACCAACTATGTGCTCGTAATTTATATATAACATAGTATACTATATAATATTCTCTATATAGACTATAATCTACTATAGACTATACTACTATATACTATAAACATTATAGTACTATGTACTGTAGTATACTTTATATATATACTATAGTGTAGTATATACCTGTACACTATACTACTAATATAGTACTAATCTACTATAGACTATAATGTACCATATAATCTATAGGTTATATAATCTTCTGTAGACTATAACCCATAGACTATTATTGACTATCGACTATACTACTATATATTATATATGCTATGCTATATACTATACTATGGTATAGTGTATATCATGTGTGCTATTCTATATAGCATATAATATAGTATATATAAATGTTATATATAATATATTATGTTATAGTAATATAATAATATATTAATAATATGATAACATATATTATTTACTATATGTAATGGTTATATAATGTTATAAATAATATATATTAGTATATTATTATATTAACTATACATTAACTATACTATTAGTATATAGTATATACAATGTTTTAAATCATATATTTTATTACATTATTAATATATTTTCTGTTACTATAGTATATATATAACATTTTATATATAAACTATATTATGTACTATATAGAATAGAATATGATATATAATAGAATATGAAATATAATATATACTACACTACAGTATACTACAGTAAGTATATAATATACAAATAATACTCTATTAACCTACTATAGATTCTATTCTATTATATAATCTATATACTATATAATTGTTATAACCTATAGACTACATAATATAGTAGTTCAGTTCTCTGGCTATTCCCTACTTTGTCAGTTTGTATGCTCAAGAGCAGCTCCTTCACTTCCTTCATCTTCCTGCTCCTTCCCCACTTGCTTTTAGAGTCTGGAGTCCTTCTGAAAGCCTAAGGGTTGCAGAAAGCTGGTCTCCAGAGAATTGATGTGTTATGACTTTGTGGGCTCAGTGGAAAGAAATACAGCTTTTGTAACTGTGGTCACTAAAATATCTAAAGGTATCACTGTGTCTTCTTCCAAGTGCTTTGATTAGATTGTGAGTTTGGGGAAATCAGAGGAGACAGCAGCTACAACATTGCTTTGATATAGGGGCTGATGGGCACAAGGGGCCAGGTTTGGCCAAAATGTTTTGCTTTCCTCCTATCTCCAAATTGTTAATAATGGCCCAAGAACCATATCTTTTCCAACCACACTCTTAGCCCGTACATACAAAGTAAATTGTTTTTTTTTTTCCCTCTTACAATTGCTTTGTGACTTTTTAAATTATAGAGGAAAGTTGCCAAGGGAAAAGCTAGTATTTAGGGCTTTAACATGAAACCAGAATCAAAAGACTTCTGGTAAATAATAATAATGACAATTTTCCACAATTGTTTCCTCTCTTGGACAGTATGTCATGAAGTTCTGTAAGGGCAAAGAGACCACAAACATAGGCAGTCTCTCCTTTGTTCTAGTGTACAACATAACTTCCATCCCATACAGAGCCATATAGCTAAGATTAAACACTACTCAAGGTAGGGATAGAATAACTCAAGAATGATTTTTTTAATTAAAAAATGATTTATGAAAATATATTGAACTCTGTTCTACCATCCAGCTAAAAACATGTTGTTTTTTTTTTCTTCTGAATGGGTACATGAATGATGTAAATGGAAGCAAAAGTTGAGTTTTGTTTGGACCTGGCTCTTTGCTTCTGAAAGGTTGACAACTCATGAAAAGTCATGAGCCAGCTCCAGCTCTCTTCACTCCATTTCCAAATTCTCACTTACAAGGTGATACCATGTCACATAACTTTGGGATTAGATTTGGTGTGGAGGCTGTTCTGTTTAAGGTCCAATCTGAACTGTTGTGCTCTCACATTTGATTTAAAGGGCTCTTTGCAACAGAGCTTTCACTAATGTCAGCTTGGGAAGATTTGTGTTTGCAAAACATTTGGAAGACACATCCAGAAGACAAAGAATCATTAAAAATAGGCCACTTCAACTCCTCCTTTCTTATTAAATTATTCTGTTAATCTGTGTTTCTTACAGTAACCACCTTTTTGACTCCCTGGAATCTGGTCCGCTTACTTACGATAAGAGCAGAAACTAATCAGGGAAAAAATAAACAAACTGAGAAATGTTCAGATTTCCCATATTGGACTCGTAGGCCACTTCCTTTCTGTGCTAGGATGGAAGATGATAGTCATGTCTTCACTTCTTACCACTAGGTGGCACTCTATGGCATCAAGCCAGTTCAGCAAGAATCAGAACTTTTTCTCATACTCCCAAAGATCTTTCTCCATTGTTCTGTCTATTCTTGTCCTTAATAGAGTATCTCCACTCTTATGTCATTAAAAAAAAAAGATCTACTTTCAGTAAGCAAAACTATGACATTTTGTCATGGCTAAAGTAGAGTACTTTAAAATAAACAAACCAGAAAAAAAACCAACCCAACCCACATTGCTATAGTCAATTTCAGCTGCTTTCAGGGTCTATGACTCATACCCATGGATAGTAGGTGCATCTTACCTGCCCAGTCCTCTGTAAGTTTCCAAAATGAACATCTGGTATGAAGAGAACGGGCTGGGAATCCAAGTCAGTCATTGTCTTGAAGTAGGTGATATCGCTCTTTTTTTGTAAGGGTATTGCTGTCAACTTCCCATCAGTGGCTGAACAGAATTGCAGAATTCTTAGTGACTGAGGGTTATATTTGATTTAGAAACCCAACCAAAACCCTAGCCCTAGATAAAGTTCATTTACTCCATGCAGAGAAAACGCTGCTCTAAAATGCAACATGGATGAAGGCAAATACGAGGAGTTAATTTGCCCATCCTACATAGGCTATGTCTTTAACAGAAATGATGTAGCCAGTCAAACTCACAGTTGTTGCACTGGGTTTGAGTTGCTTGGCCTTTTCCTTTTTTTCTGTTCTGCTTCCTCTCTTCATCACGGATTTTTCTTTCTGCTCCCTGCCAGTGAAAACAAACACAAACAATGCCAGGCATGTTAAAAAAGTACCCAAAGCTATCATCTCCATTACAAATCTTGGTGAATGTGAAACAAGCCAGAGGAAAGAGAGACATGGGGTGGGAGTCCCATTTCTATTATTCAGGAGGGGTCAGTGCTTCAACTGGGAAAGCTTTATGATATATTAAAGGTCCCTGAAAACAAATGAGATCAATTTATTGGTATAGACCATATTCCTGACCTCTGCACCATATTGTCACCCATCTTCCTTTCGGAAGTGATTCCATCCTCTCCCCTTGTTTTGCTTTCTTGTCTGTCTATAGAATTTCAATTTGGAATCTACCCAGAGAAAACAGTTTCAACTTCATAACCTACTGGACAATGATGAATGTTAAATAATGCTAGTAACTACAATAATAGAATTTAAGACAAATAATGGTAGCAGATTGACAGAAAGAAAAAAAAGAAGCAATATTAAGTATCACACTTTTTGTAGATTGCCTATAAACATTATCTTAACTATAAATATGAGCTAATGACCAATGAGTCAACATACTAGTGGAGGAAATAAATCACATCAGTATTGATATCCTTAATATAAATGAAACACAAAGGTACAAGGAAGTTTCAGTTAAATGGAGGAATGGCTCACAGACTCCCCTTGGAACATCAAATAAAACAGTTGGCAGTATTAGCTTACTCTGCAGACTCAGACAACAAGAAACAATTTTACAGGACACATGGTCACCATCGCGCTACTCATTGCTCATTAGGTCCACCGTCTTGGAGAGGGTAGTGGGGAGGAAGGGGGAGAAAAATTTTAAACGCAAAAGCATGTGGAAGTGATTGTTGATAAATCAAAATAAATTTTAAAAAATTTAAAAAAGAAGAGCATTAGAAGGGGCTGGATATGAAAAACATCAAATAATATCACAAATACTTAAACTATGTCTAAACAGAAAAGAAATGAATGGTTATTGATGTGGGAATCACTCCTGAATCAGCTGTCTATATTAAGTCAGTTCATTAATTTTAGAGCAAAGATAAAAATTAATATGAAATTAGAAGAAAGAATAAAGATGGGAAGAAATAGCTAATGAAATTAAAACAGCTTCATTGTGATATATTTAAATGAATTTGCAGCACAAGAAATATCCAATGGATAAAAGAGCATATATCAATGTGGATTAAATCATTTCCTATTCAAATTTAGTGTATATAAAGTGATTGACACAATGAGGAGGCCAAAAGAATTCTGAACCTATCTTACCCAGGAAACATTTTACTTCTTTGACGACTAAAGAGATATGGCAGCCAAGGGCAATGCCACTGTAGAATATAAACTCATTTGTAAATTGGAAGGACTGCTAGCAGTAGAGTCTTACCAAAACAACAAGTAGTTCATAATCTTGGTGAGAAAACTGGTTAATTAAGCCTGATCATCCTGAGGATGTTTAAGGATAACACTGGCAAGATAATAAATGGATACAAAATGGAAACAATTTAACAAAATATCTATAATAAACCATTATCTACATCAATGACAATAGAACCACCACATCTGAACTCTAATTCTTTCTCACTGGAGGATTTTTTCATACAAGGAGTTCCTAGGGTAGTTTTATTTATATATTTACACACACACACACACACACACACACACATCCATGTACACATACACGTCTTTGACTTCATCACTATAGGAAACTCCTAATGTAAAAACTCTATCTTTTAATGCATTTCAACAACTCAAAAGTGACTTATAGAGTTTAGGTAACTTGCCTATGGTCAGTCAGTTAACATGTGTCAAAGGCAGGTCTTGATAAACCAGATCTTTCTGACTCCAAAGCCAGCTCTCTACACATTACGTCATGTGGCTTCTTGAATAAATAAATGGGACAATATAGAGAATCATAGACTTGAAGAATTATAAGAGACCTGAGGGAAATAAGTGATAACGATTGGGTCACCATACCATCTTATTGCAACACTTAGTATTTTTGGTGATGTATCTAACTACATAATTGTGCTTTATTCTTCTTCCTCCTAAGTACTCAGATTTTACTCTCATGACAATTTGGAAAGAAAAAATATACATTCCCAGATAGAACAGTCAATCGGTGATGGTAGCTTGCTCTTGCCCATTTAATAGGAGGTCAATGACTACCTGAGTTATAACATGCCAAAAAACAGCCTAGGTACATGGGCAGTCTTCCCTCCCACCCCCCAGGCTTTCCAGATATCCTTTAAAACAATTCTGTAAATCCTATATGAAAATTATTTTGGATTTTGATGATATAACCCAATTGAATCCATTCAATAAATACATATTAAGCTACTATTTGCCAGGCATTAGAGATGCAAAGATAAAGATGGAAAGAGTTTCTGGTCTCAAGGAGCTTACACTCTTTTGGAATGTAAACCAATGGGACACTTTCCTTCTTGTTTTTCTTTCCTCAAAACTGAAAAAAATGTATCTTGTTAAATGTATGCACTAGCTCCCAGATCCAAAGCTCTGTATATCAAGCTCTTCCTTTAAAATTATCAATCTAATCCATCCTCCCCAATTTTATAGATAAAGAGACTGAAAGTCAGAGATGTTAATAGTATGAGTCTGAGTTTATGTATATGAGAAGTTCCAAGAAGGGGGAGAGAAGTAAGTGTAAGGATAGGAAAAATTGCCTTAAGGAATGAGGATGAGCTGGGGGCTTGAAGCATGGATAAAATTAGAAAAATCATCACACTTGTAAATAGTTTGATGCTAGAAAATAAGCGTTATTATTGATTCACACAATTTCTTTTTTTGGTGAGGCAACTGGAGACTTGCCTAGGGTCACACAGCTAGTGTCAAGTGTCTGAGGCTGGATTTGAACTCAGGGCCTCCTGACTCCAGGGCCAGTGCTCCATCCACTGCACCACCTAGCTGCCCCACACACAATTTCTTTTTATGGTCAGAGGAATCTGTTGTGTACAATAAATGTCAGTAAAGTCCTTGAAAATATAAACATCATTGACGCTTGAAAGACTTTGGAAATTCATATATAGACATAAGAGAGACAGCAATATCTGCTTAGATGTGTATCCTCGAAAAATAGTTTCCACCACTTCTATGCTGAAAATAGCAGCAAAAAAATTTAATCATCTCTACTCTTTCAGAGTTTTCCTATGACACTAGGCAGCTAGAGAATTAAAAGAAAAAGAAAACCCAAGTTGTCAAATGCATAAATATTAATATATTCAAATACATTTGGAACATAAGCAATGGTCTCCAGAAAAAAATCAAGGTTACTTATTTGTTCCATCTATTGGAAAATGCCCCTGCCAAAAAGTGTTTGATGGTCCTCTGCAATACAACTCTCATCTTCTACCTAATTCTGCATCTTTATTCATCTATTAGCCTAAATCACAACCTGGACAATAAAAGAGATGAATGAGAATATTTTTATTTGTGAGCTGCATTATAACTGAAAAAAGGAAGCCTGAAATTTATCTAGCTTGGTAATTTATGTGTAAATGGTATAGGTTAAATCCTTTTTTTTTTTTAACTAACTTCAATTCAATTCAAAAAGTATTTATCAAGTACTTACTCCTTACCAATCACTAAGCTAGATGCTGTAGATTCAAAGACAAAAATTAAAGTCCTTGTCCTCAAAGAACTTACAGGGAAGAAACAACATGTATACAGATAAACACATATTAAATCAATGTGAAGTACTTTGATGGAGAAAAATGGGATCAGGAACTGGGGAAATCAGGAAAGGTCTCTGGGGGCAGCTTGGTGGTGCAGTGGATAGAGCACTGGGCTTAGAATCAGGAAGACCTGTCTTCATGAGTTCAAATCTGGCCTCAAACACTTACCATGGCCAAGTCACTTAACTCTGTTTACCTCAGTTTCCTCATCTGTAAAATGAGCTGGAGGAGGAAATGGTAAACCAGTATCTTTGCCAAGAAAACCCCAAATGGGGTCATGAAGAGTTGGACATGACTGAAAGGACTGAACAATGACAGGAGGCAGTACTGGAGCTGAGCCTTGAAGGGGCAGGGATTGCAAGACAAGGCCAGGAAGGAGAAATGCATTTCAGGCATCAGAATAGCCCATGCCAAGGAATGGAGGTGGGAGAGAACACCAACAGGTCAACATGGTTGGAAAACTGAGTGTGTGAGGGGAGATGAAATAAAATTAGTCTGGGAACATAGGGTTGGAGTTATAGTGTGAACGATTTTAAATGGCAGAGAGGTTTCTTTATTTCTAGCAGCAGCAGGAAGTCGCTGAAGTTTCTTGAGTGAAGGACTGACATAGTGAGATTTGTGCTTTAATAATCAGTCTGGCAGCCACGTGGAGGCTGAATTAAAGAGGGAAGAGGCTGTTTGCGGGGAGTCTATATATAGAAGGCTTTTGAAGTAGTCAAAATGAGAGTATGAAGTGGAATAGTTGTGTAGATAAGGGAGTTGTTGAGGGACCCAAAAGAGTCCATTCATTCAACTCCTTTAACCATTACCCCTCTCCAAAATAAAAGCAAAACTCCAAAAAATCTCTTTAAAAATGAAATTCCCTGCCTACAGCAAAGGGATTGAATATTGGTCTTACACATACACATATATGTAGATAGATAGATAGATAGATAGATGGATAGATAGATAGATAGATAGATAGATAGATAGATAGATAGATGGATAGATAGATGGATGGATAGATATTTCTCCATTCCCCACCCATCACTACTACGGGATATTAATTAATCTGATCAAACAACCCTGATATTAACCAAATGTCCTTCGTGATAGATTTCACTTTAGTTCCCTTTTCTGCTCAGTTGGAAACTTCTGACTTCTAACTGACTCAAAAGAAAGATGGTGCATTTTGGACACGATAATGCAAAGGGACATTGGATTGGGTCACTTCAAACATTCTCTTTCTTTGTAGGATCATATGGTGTATAAGCCCAAATTGTGAGGTGAAGCCTCTTTAAAAGATTTTCTTTTTCAATTGTCTTTAAAGAGC